TCAGCTTTTGAAAACGCCTTCCATTGTGGTGGAAGAGAAATACTTTATATAAGTGAACAGAGAAAATGGGATTCAAATAGGAATTTCTAGGAAGGCTGGGGAGAATGAAAAAAGATACAGAAACATGAATGGGCGCTGACCAAGCGTTTTTGACATTGCTTGAAACTGGATTGATCCCTGGCTCTCTGTCTGATGGAGCCCCGTGGCTCTCTGTTCTCTTGGTACACCCCAGCCTTCTACCCTATATAGGCCAGGGTCTGCCCTCAGACCTGAATGACACTGGTCTGCTGAGGTCACCCAGGGGTTCCAGATCTTAGCCTTCATCTTCCTCAGACAGGCATTAGCCCTTCCTTTCTCTAATTTCCCTCTCCCCCAGACTTGTGCAGGGCTGGCTCTCCTACCTCCTTGAAAGGTCCCTTGGAAGCATACTGGTTTCTAGGCCTCCATGCTGCACACCCTGCATGTTCACTACCCCAGGGATCTTCCCTCCTCTCACCTCTTCCCCACTCCCAGGGCTGACTTTTTACCCCATGCCAATGACTATGAAATGCATTGAACTCAAGTCAACTTGTCCAAAACCAGAGGATATTTGACTCTCCCTCAAATCAGCTCTTCTGGGGGCCACTTGCCCTGTGCTTCTTCCTCAGGGCTCCCTGTGATCCTGAATTGTTTCCTTGATTCCTTTCTCATCTTCTCTGATTCATCCTGCTCAGGACTGGAAATCAGTTCTTAGGCCAGGCTCCTACTAAAAACAACTGCAGTGATTCCTTACTGTTTGCCAATGAAAGTTTATTAAAGTTTCTCCATGACCAAGCTGTAATTTCTTCCTAGAGTTATTTCCTACTACAATGTGTATATGCTCCCTGCACTGCTGCCAAACTTAATTGCTTGTAAACATTATGGTTAATAAATATTATTTCTACTAGCTCTCAGGTACTGTAAATATGTGAACGTACAAATGGCTAAACAGCATAAGAAGGATGACTTAATATAGCCCTCTCACCGTGAGATACTTAATCATAAAATTATAATTTTGAAATAATTTGTATAGTTGAAAAATTCTTTACTTGTTTCAATTATGTAGATTATCTTAAGAATTATGCTAAAATCTAAAGTAATTTTCTTTCTCTGTGTGTACTCTTCTCCTGTTTTGTAGGAAAGAACCTGATAGCTTGAATCTTAGCAGTTGACTTTTTCTTCCCAATGAAAGGTCGTTTAGCTTACATAGATTAATACATATACTTTTTCAATCTTAGTTAACTCTGTCTGATTTCATGTGTTCCTTGACTAACATTTCTGTCATCCTGGTCACAGTCCATTTGACACACCTCTCAGCAAAAAGCTAGCCCTTCAGTTAGGAAATGGAGCCACATTTTACACCTGTTCCCAGCCCTTAAATGACCATCTGACCCCTTAGCAGCCGCCCCTCCTTCTATCCACAATCCTTTCCTTTCCAATCTTGTACTTCAAAGTGATCCCTGGGCTTATGGGAGTTGCCTTTTAGTATTTCCTTATTTACATAAATACACAATGCAACACATACTGGAATAGCTAACTGAATTTAAATAGGTATTATATTTACAGTGGTGGGAGGTTGTTTTTGTTTTTGTTTTTTCCTTATATAAGCCTGGGCTTCTGAAATGTCATTGACTTTCTATGATTCTTTGTCAAGTCATCTTGATCATCCTTCTGGGGTCGTTATATTATCTTTAAAGTAGAAAGTGTCTTTCTCTGGAACCCTCTGTTTATAAACAGCTGCTCATTTCCCCTCAGGGAACCACACCCCATGGGCCAGGAGGATGCTGGGAACTTGTACAGTGCAGCTGTTTGGCTTAGTTACAATTGGGTAATTGCCTTTGACCCTGTTCCTAAGCTGTGATTTCCAATAGCTACAGGGATTTCCTCTACTTCTGACCTGACTGAACCCATTGTGTAACTGGCACAGTATGATGGCCCTAATGTGGAGAAAAATGAGCAACAATTCTCTGGAGGCAGACAAGCGATTGATTTCGAACACAGGGATTGATTACATTTCAGGCAACAGGACTGTAATTTAAGGGGTAAAGCAGAGTCAATGAGGCCAATATAATGGTTTCCTCTACAAGCACTGATGCAATTAGCAACTCATTTTAGTTGAAAAGGTGCAGGAACTCTTGGCCCTGTTCCTATGGCCATCACAAAATAGGAAATGGGAGGGAAAACCCAGTCAGTATTCATTTTGGTGGAGTTGTAATGCATATTTAGTGATACTACATCTAGGAAACAAAAATCATTTTAGGAGATTCAAGTTTTGTTATAATAGGCCATTGGTTTGACCTGGCTTTGAATGAAGATAATTGGCATTTCATTTATACAAGTTATTGAAGATCATGCAGTCCGTTGCCCCTAAGTTTTCACCAAATTTGTCAAACAGCAATTCAGTTTATTAGGCCTAAAGCATTCAGCTACTGAGGTCCCTTCTCACATGCTATTACCCTTTAGTAAACATTAAGTAACACCCGGATTACTTAATGAATTCTGATTCACTGGGTGTATTACAGGACCTGAGAACTTTTATTTTCCTTAAGCATCTTCAGTGAATCTGATATATGAGTTGCGTTTTGATAAATACTGCTCTACATCTAGAGATTACATATGAAGTAGGTATCAATTATTAAATGTCTTAGGCTTATCTGAAATCATTTTTTCTTTGGCAGCATGTTGGAATATTGGAAATCAGCTAAGTTTCAAGAGAGGGTCATGGCAAGAAGAAAGTGTGCAGCCTGGGTCAGTTGTCTGAGAAAACAGGCTCAGACTGGGTGTCTTGGAAGGGAGCCATGACTGGGTGATCAGAAGTCAGCATAAGGTTGTTGGGTGCATGTGGCAGGCAGCAGGGCAAAGATTGAAGTTGGGTTGGTGTCTGGGGGAGTCATCTGGGATTCACTCTTGGGCTCATGTAAGAGTAAGTGTTTCTTTCCATTTTGCACCCTAGGCACCTCACTCACCTCACCCTGGTCTTGGCTTTGGCAGATAGCTTCTGAAACGGCTGCCAATGACCCTCCCTTCTGGTATTCTTATGCTTGTGTAATCTACTCTTGTGTGTGCACTGAACCTGGTGATTTCTTTCTAATGAGTAGAATAGAACAAAGGTGATGGGATGCCACTTCTAAGAGTATGTCACCAAAGACTGTGACTTCAACCTTCTACCCTGTCTCTTGCTGTCTTTTGTTTTTTGACTGATGAAACGAGTTGCCATTTGTGACTTATTGAGGCTTATTGACATTTCTGCCTTATTGAGGGACCTTTGTGGCAGGGAACTGAGGGTGGCTTCCAGACAACAGCTGGTAGATCCTTCCTGGTTGAATCTTCACATAAGACCATCAGTTAACACTTTAACTGCAATCTGCAGGAGACCCTGAACCCAGAAGCTCTAGCTCAGCCCTGCCCAGATTCCTGACAATAGAAAGTGTGAGATAGTAACTATTGTTGCTTTAAGTCACTATGTTTTAGAGTAAATTTTTATGCAGCAATAAATAACTAATATAGTGCATGAAAATCATGGTGGTGGTGGAGTGTTGCTTGCTGAACCTGAAGAACAACATAAACAAGGAAAAGTGAGAAGGTACTGAGCCCACACTGAACCCAGTTTTGTGTGTTGTAGACAGTTTGGGGCCAGAGATGGTTCTTCAGGGGTTGCTTCTTCCTTAACTCTTCCAACCCTTCACTTTCCTAAAAAAAAATGCTGGAGAATTGCCTTATAAGTATTGACTGCTATACTTTGAAGTTCCTTCTACTAAATGTCCAAGATTGTTGCCATCACCACCTCCTTGTCTGTGATAAACTCTTTCACTAAAATTTGCCATGCTTCCTAGTAACAAGGTGACTATGCTTAATAGTGATAATATCTTTAGCCAGCAGCCACAGCCACTAGAATACAAAAATTAAAATGTCTGACACTGTAAGGATGTGGAACAACTGGAACTCTGTATCCATTGCTAGTGGGAATGCAAAATGGGGTGGTCACTTAGGAAAACCTTATGATACCCTCTTAAAGAGTTAAACCTAAATCTACCATATGACCCAGTAATTACACTTAGATATCTATCCAAGGGCAATAAAACTTAGATATCTATCCAAAGGCAATAAAAACTTTTGTGCACACAAAGGCTTACGTTAAAATATTTATAGCAGTTTTACTTGTAATAGTCCAAAGCTAGAAACAATGCAAATGTTGATCAACTAGTGAATGGATAAGCAAGGCTGGTATTACGGATTGTCCTCTGTTCCCCTTTGTCTGTCTTTTCTCAGGGTCCTCTCAGGGGAGCACCTTTTTTCTAGCACCATAATCAGTCATATTCCTCATGAGCTTTGGGTGGGGGGCTCAAGAGGGAGGGCATTACCTTTGCAACAGGAGAACCAACAAGTGGGACCTTCTATGCTTAGATTTGTCCTTTCTTTGGGCCTCTGACATTCACTTGTCAATTAGCTTTTAGAAGCCTCTGTTGGGAGATAAGGTGTTTCTGAGAGTTTTGATGTAGGGATGCAGCTCAGAATTATAAGTGGTCTCCTTAATATTCTACATCACTAGCTAGGGCTTACACAGCAAATATCCATGCCCATCGGGAAAAAAAAAGTCTAAGACAAAAGTGCATGCATTGCATAATGTTTAGAGTTGTTGAATCACTACATTGTACACCTGAAAGTAATGTAACATTGTGTGTCAACTATATATCAATTTTAAAAAGTTCATGCAGGAAGTTGATAGGAATAAAGGGGTCATGATGGAAGCAATGGGAAAACTAGTATAGGCCGAGTGAAATCTACTACAAACTTTAGTCCCTCCAGAGGGCTGCTCTATAGCTTACTGTAGTTCCATTTATTTTTTTTCTTTCTTTTAAGCCTACCTAATGATTCTTAACTTATAACTGAAAAGCTACATAGAGTATGTGAATCAGGGCCACGATTTGCAGATGTCAAAAAAACTTTATTCTTTGTGAATGGTTGCAAGAGAAGATAAACATCATCATCAATGAGATTTTTTTTTTCTTCTTGTAATGGTATAGCATCTTCCTTCCAGTTCTATGTAGCACATCCCTTGTCAAGCAAGTCTCTAATTCCATCTCAAGCAACTCCTTTTATGGGCATGACAAAATCATTGGCTGATTTAAATGAAGGAAGGGGACTGAACATATAGAATAAAGAGGAAGAAAAGACATATAAAAATTTTGACTTAAAAAAATTTTGACTTTATGTGAACACTGGTGACTAACTTTCCACATGCAAAAAAAAATCATTGGTGATGAAAATAACTGTTAAATATATAACTAATATGACACTATACCATTATATGTTGTTTTGATTCATTATCTCATTTTTTTTGCTTATTTGTCTAAAATTGTGTGTGTGGTTAAAACCAATGAGGCCATGGCAAGGTTAGACTTGAGACTAGTTCCTTAAGGGTTATTTCTTGTTCTGCTGAGAGTGTATCTTCAGTTGCCAGGAGATGATGTGTGCATGAATTCTCTTGCCTGGGTTAAGGTCAACTATAGCTGGTAAAATGAACCCAGCTGCGGCAAGTTGATAAGTCCAAGTTTCAAGATGACACAGAGGGATTGAGTCAGGCAAGAACCAGAAGATTTGGGGCCAAGTTAAATGCTATTGCTTGATGGGCAAGAAGAGAGGAAAGAGGACATGCCAATGCACAGCAGTTGCTGCTGAGATAATATGAATCTGGAAACCCTGTGTGCTCAGTGTTGAACTTGGTATTGGTTTGTGTATTTTCAAAACCTGGCACCCTCTGATGACTTTTCCCCTCTCACTGTTCTTGGGACTTCTCTAAAAGGTTCTAAATAAAAGGAAGCATTTACTTTGAAAGCTTCAAAAGTCATTTCACTCTACAGGTTATACATGGAGTGAAAGGCTTGTTTACAGTTAGTTTCATTGCTCTTAAACCTCTCAATTTGTTCCTGCTGGTAAAATTTATGTAAGTGGAAGAGAGATTATTTCTAGGTATAGGTGTGTGTTAGAAGGTTTTTTTTTTTTTTTCATTCAACGGATATGTACTAAGCACCCACTAGATTTTGGGGTACATGGGCAAAGCACCTGTTTCAGAGCTTTGCAAAGCCTCAATTCCTGAGGGATCCAAGCTCTGCACTTTGAGCCCTGGGTCGAACCACAGACATAGGTAGTGCTGACAGCCGTGTTCTTGTCATGGCTGAAGGCTTCCGGGGGATGGATCTTTGAGGAGCTACCTTAGCTGAGGCTCTCTTTGTTGAATCTCTAAGTACAGTGGCACAAGCCAAAGCTTCTTGCTGAGTAATGTAGCCTAAGGGAATAGAAATGGGAGGAAGTTCAAAGTCAACAGGCTTACAAAACAAATAAGCAAACAATCTGTAGATATTTATGGACTCATAAAACTTCTTCTACTTTGAATTGTGTTACCACACCCAGATTATATGATCTTTGAGGATAGGACATACGCTTTTCTTTTTTTGCATTTATCATTCAGTAATTAATGAATACCTAGTCATTGATTTACATGACAAATCACTTGGACAGGGACTTGGGCCTTGAGTAATCTGAGCATGCATTGCATATTTTCATTTTCAAAATTTTCTTCAAACCAGAGATATTTGATTTTTGTCAGTGTTTTGAAAGTATAGTCTGCAGACCATCCACTACAGAATCATCAGGCTGAAAACACATTTAATAACGTTTTTTAAAAATTCGCATTTCTGGGGGCATCAGGTGGCTCAGAGGTTGAGTGTCTGCCTTTGGCTCAGGTTGTGATCCTGGGGTCCTGGGATCAAGTCCTGCATCAGGTTCCCTGGAGGGAGATTGCTTCTCCCTCTGCCTATGTCTCTGTCCCTTTTTTTGTGTCTCTCATGAATAAATAAATAAAATCTTAAAAATAAATAAATAAAAATTCACATTTCTGGCTCTACTCCATAGACTTTCCTAATCAGAAACTCAGAGTTAGGCCTGGAAATATGCATGTTGATAACATACACAGGTAGATTTTATGTGCACTAAATACTGAATATCCCTGCTCTGGTTTCCCTGGTCTCTTTGCAGTTTTACTCTACAAACAAAGCTAATAGATGATGCTTCTGCAGGAATACAGGTAATCATGGGGAACAGGCTGCGTCCTGGCTCTGCCATTTACTAGTTATATGACCCTCATCAAGTGATTTCTTATCCACACCTCAATTTTCTCTTCTGTAAAATGTGAGTTAAAGAGGCACCTACTGTATAGAGATGTCTGAGTTCCAAACAAGACAATATATGCAAAGTGCTTAGAACTGCGCGGGGCACAAAGGAAGGCCTAATAACAGATAACTATTGTTATTGTTATTGTTACTCAGCCATTTGCAAAAACCATGTCTTCCTTTTGTGCAAATGCAGGAACAGCAATATAAGCTAGATGTGCTAATGTTAAGCGAGCTGCTTATAAAAAGAAAGCTTTGCCAGAGTCAGAAGAGTGTAATAGAGGCCAGCTGGAGACTGAAAACATTTCCTAGAAAAAAACGGACTTAACAACAATCACCGAAGGTTGTTGCTTAAAGTCTGTGAAGGTCTTTTGCAACCATTATTTCATTTGTGCTTCGTAAAATCCTACGAGGTAGCTAGAAGAGAGATGTCAGAGAATGGGGGTGAAAAGGTATGCTTTTTGCCGGCAATGGCCCTGACATTCACTATCCTTATAACTTGATGAAGTTATATAATCTGTCTGAGCTCCAGCTTCCTACAGCTATAAACTGAGGAGAAAATGAGATGTGTGTAGAGCTCCTAGCACAATGTCTGCAACGTGGTAAATGCTTAATAAGTGTAACTGTTATTGTTGTGAGTAACCGAAGCCTCTGAATTTGCACATCCAGCAAGGGGCTGAGCTGTGGTTTGGGCCTAGACCATCTGCCAAAGCCCATTGCCATTTCTACTAGATCAAGTTCCTATAAATCTCAGGCAGTTGTTGACATTTTATAGCAATCCATACTCTGATTTCTTGAAACCCTCTTAATTTACCCATAAAACCTTGCTTTCTATTGTCAGGGATAATCATTTTTAAACATGACCTGCCAACCATGTTATAAAATAGCATACTGGCAGGGGCCATTCTACTTGAATTATTTATCTGGAAACTTGACTTCCGGCTGCAGCGCACAAGTCCCTCCCTAAGGTGCGTGGTTTAGGTCAGGTCGTTAAAACTCACCAAGCAGCTGCTGGTGCTGAAGGCTGTGAATATAGCGGTTCTGCAGAGCCTCCCACTGGGGCCTGGAATTATAAATCCTCATGATGCTGTAAAAGTAGCGCTGCTGCCCTTGGGTTAGGTCCTGTCAGAGCAGAGCAGGTGATTTTGATGAGTTGATAGAGTTCTATAGGACTAAGAGTGTGATGTGTTCAAAGCTGACTTCTTTGGAAATAAGATAGATATGTGTTTATATATATATACACTTATATATAAACCGTTTTATATATACATTTAACAATCGGAAAATAATAATTGGGTAGTGTCTTCCCTAGTTTACTTAAACAACCTCCATTGGCCTGTGTGTTAGTGAAAATAGGTAAATAAAAGACTCTAGGTAAGTAAGTCAAAGTACTGGGCTGAGAGAGATCTAAGGATTTCCAACATTTTATAACTTTATTCCTCGATTATGATCCTTGTTGAAGAAAGTAGGCTATGAGAATCTACATAAGGCCTGACGTAGGCCAGGGGGACAAGAGAACTTTCCACCAAGAGTTGTCAGTAAGCAGGGGAGATAGCTAGATGAGTAGATGAGTAGTGTAATAAAGGTTCAACATTATTAGTTAAAAGGTGCTATGAAAACAGAGAAGGAAAACAAACTCTCATGTAGCAGTCAAGGAAGGCTTTCTAAATGAGTGACCAGAGCATCTGAGTCTTAGAGTGAGGGAGAGTTCCCCAAGGAACTAGAATACTTGTTCTCAAAGGGCATCAGCATCACCTGGGAACTTGTTAGAAAGGCAAATTCTCAGGCCCCATCGTAGATCTACAGAATCCTAAAGTCTAGGGAGTGGGGCTCAGCACTCTGGGTTTTAACAAACTCTGTAGGTGATTCTGATACAAGGACACTAAAATTTGAGAACCACTGTGCTAGAAGAAAAAGAAAGAGAAAGTGGTACAGATTTTCTCATGCAGCACAAAATAACTGACTATATTAGGAACCAGACTTTTTTTTTTTCCACCTCAAACAGAATAGGAAAAGTCTGTAGAGGTAGGCAGGCAGGGGAAGATTATGGAAACCTTATACGCAATGTTCAGATTCAAATTTTAAGAGTTTAAAGATTACCTTATATACGAGAAGCCATTGAAGGTCTTTATTTAAGTCAGAGGTGTTCAACGGGAGTGATTTTGACTATTAGGGACATTTGGCAATGGGTGAAGACATTTTTGGTTGTCATAAATGGTGACAATTGGTAGGTAGAAGTCAGGAGTGCTGCTGAACATCGTATAGTGCACGAGACAGCCTCCCCATCCCTCACAACAAAGACTTATCCAACCCTAAATTTCATACTTGGAGTTGACCAGATTTCTGGTTTAGAAAGATCACTCTGGCTTTACTGTGGAGAATGAGATTATGGGAAGACAGACCATGGATAGGGGGAGCACTTAGAATGCTGTCATCTAGTGCAAGAGAGGAACAAGAAGGACTTGGACTGCAGTTACTGTTACATACCTAATCTATTATGAGTGCTTACTGAGATAATGACATCAACATTCTAGAAAAGCTAAGGCAAAATAAGTTCACCTTAGGCCAAAAAATTCAAAACTATGATAGAAGTTTCAAAAGTAGTTGATAACCATTGTAATGAAAACTAAATTTAATTATATATAAAAGTGGCTTTTATCTGTTAGATATTTTATGTGGAGTTGAAACCTGTGAGTCAGATTTTTTTTGATGTCTAAAGACCTTAAGCTTGATATCTAAAATATATCCAGAGTGAAAGTAGCAAATCCAAGTACTTCACAATTCGAGGCATCATTTGAATTTTACAGTTTCTAAATTAGATGTTTTAAAAGAATATCTTCCAAGAAGATAATTGATTCCTAATTAAGCCTTTTCAAATGATGGAGAACAATATAATATGAAAATAGCAAGCCAGTTTCAAGAGCAAAGCTCCAAAGGGCAATGGGAGTTTCCATTATATAAGGTAAAATCTTTAAAGTTATGGTTTTATTTTACACGGGAAAAAAATGTCTGTATCTTTTCCTTAGTAGAGACCTAAACTTCCTAAACAATGATCCTAATATTTTCACCCTGTTGTTTATCCTTCCTTGAACGGATGGAAGAGAACTGAAGAGAATTGAACTTTTTGCAAAAAGTATTTATGAGAATGGCTTTATTTTATTATTTTATTTTATTTTTGTTTTTGTTTTTTGAGAATGGCTTTAAATAACTTTGACTGAAAGGAGCTACCATCTACCTTCTCTAGCTGGGAGTCACAGTATGGTCAATAGTGAGCTGCCCATCACTGGGAGTGCTTCAGCAATGAAGATGTGACTATCTACAGAGCTCCTGAAATGGGATGGGTGTAGGATCAGACCATCCAACTGCTCGTTCATTCACCACACACGCCATCAATGTGCACTGAGGGCCTGTGTTGGGCCCGATGTGACCTAAAGATGGGAGAAAAAGCCCTCAGGCCTCGAAGAAGAGACAGGCAAGTTCCCTCCATGAGCAAATGATACACTATACCTTCATTAAGGAAGTGTTGCAGGCAGAGGAAGGGACCCGAATGCAAGGAATCCGGGGAACATTCGAAAGCTTTTGTTGTCTTCTCTGTTTTTCTCCCATTCTTTATCTTGTACCTCCAAGGAACAACAAATCATAGCATGAAATTTCATTGAGTTCAACCTGTTTTGGGAATGGACCTAAATAAATAAGCAAGCAAGCAAGCAAATAAATGTTATTTATGTCAAAGGATAAAAAGTTTTCTCACATGTTTCTAGGTAATTTGGTCTCACCAGACTGCTTAGTTCTGTGTTTTGCCCTATTCTCACCCCCTGTTTGTGGAAGAATAATTCAGAGTTCTTTCTGCTTCATCTTGTGTTTGCTACAGGTGGACTGTGGAATCACAGCATGTGACAAGTTATTTCTTGATCATTTAAAATAATAATAATTACCTTATCTGATTGTAAAAGTAATATATATGTCATTTTGGAATCTGAGATGTCTATAATAATTTAATTAATTAAGGGGTAATAGACATATTAGAATAGGGTTGCCAAGGCATAGAGTGAGAATTCCAAGCCTCTTCCACTCTGCTCACACTTTTGCCTTTGCCAAACCTACCCCATTGGGTTGTTTGATTAACTGAGATCATGGCTATAGAAAGCTCTCATTTTACGCTAGCTCCTTCTTTCTCTCTCTCTCCTCTCTCCTCTCTCCTATTATATGCTTATACACATACACACACAAGAGCACCCACATATACACACCAAAGAAGTATTCTAACATGTGAGAAATCCCGGCTTCTTCGTTCATGAAGCTAGGCTCAGATCTTCCCAAAGAGAAATTTTTTAGGAAAACAACAGTCAGCATCTCTGTGTGTCCTGTTTCCATGATAAAACTTATAAATTAAACTATAAATATTTTATTTAATGCTGTTTTCCCTCAACGTGCACTTCAGAAACTCTTTTAATATTCTCTGTGATAGAAGCTAACACGGTGTCCTCTACTCAGATCATCCCAATATCCCTCCTCCCATTTTCCAGATCTGTAGAGCAGAGCATAAATATTATTCAAAGCTAGAAAGATTTCTTCTTTCCTCAAATAGCATAAGGAAATGACTGACGATCTTTCTTGTGGCAACAATTCATGTGTGCTTTTCTTGGGCTATTGCTGAGGAAATCCATCTCACCTATTCAAGGGGACTATACCTGATAAAGTTTGATTAAAATGCTTGGAGACTTCAAGGAGGACAAATCTACCAAATAACTTATGTCTGAAATAAAAAAGACAGATTTGCTTAAAAGACTTACCCTGTCTTATAATCTCCCCCTTTTTAAAAGCTGGTACTCATATTCAATGCAGTTTTCTTACAAGGTCTCTTCATGCGATGATGGTGGTAGAAATTCAGTCTGTTGATAAGCTGATATCCAGGCAACGTGGCACGATGAAACAAGAAACTGGGGGAATTTGGCTGCATGCCTTTCCTTGCTTCTGGGCAACATTCAACTGCACTGTTTATCTTTTTTCTTCCAAATTTTGTGTCTCATCAAGCGCCAACTTCTAAATCTACCGTATCTGCATTATGTGCAGACATGAGAAAAGAAAGTGTGTGGAGACAGAGAGGCTCTGAATATTAAAGGTCAAGAAGTCCACGAGAGCAATGGACCATTACATGAGTATTTCCCACATTTGGAGTCAGTTCCCCCCACATCACTCAGAATGATGAAGGAGCAGTTCCTAAATACAGAGGTACGGGCATGAATTTTTACTGTGTTAACCTATGGAATTATCCTATTTTTCAAGATAATACTCCATTCTTAATTTTTGAAGGAGTAAGATATTCTCATTTTTGACCTTGGATAGAGGCTGTGTATGCTAACAATGAACCTGTGGCACAAGGATCCTGCCCACACTGATGTCATCAGCATAAGCCTCACATTTTAACTCGACTCATGAAAGCAATCTTATTCCTTCCTCTGGGCTAGCACTATTACTATAGATTTCCTTTTTTCCCTGGAGAATCCTCCTTCTGAATGCCAGATTATCTGTAAAAATGAAGACTTCCTAAAGAAAATAAAAGAAGTACCAAAAGAAAACCACACATTCAAAATTCTGAGGCGTCTAAGGGGAGGAAAAAAACTAGAGAGAGGAGAGTGATGAATTGTAGCTTAAGGAAGAAAGAAAGGACTTACCAGACACAGGAGGTTTGCATTTTCTGTAATAGTTTAAATGCAGACCTTCTGGGGGAATAAATATGGCAGAAACAAGAGTCTATGAAAGCCCGTGGATACCACAAACCTCTCATTGGGTCTGAGAGTTTGGTGATTCTCTACTGAGCGATAAAGAACAGATGCATGCAGAGCTGACATTGTCAATTGAGTCTTCCTTGAATGTTTTCCCAACATATGATGAAATGGCTCCTAGGGCACATGGAATCTGCTGTTATACACACGGGCTGATTCAGAGCAGTGTGCATCAGTCCTTGCATAACCAGGAAAACAGACACAGATCTAGGTGTTTGACAAAGAGGGAGTTTAATATAAGGATTCTGTTACTAAAGTACTGTTGTAAGCTAGAGGAGCAAAACCAGAAAAGTCAGCTGATGCAAAGATTGGCAATTACACTCAACCACGATCAGACCTGGAGGTGGAGGAAAATGCTTTTATCCAGAATCCATAAACACTGCACCATTGGGGCTGCTTCTGTTGGATCATGGCCTGAGTAGCACCTTCAGGACCCAACACTCAGCCAGTGCCCTTTCTTCTTCTGTGTTCTTTCCCAAATGCTAACGTTACAATTACAGTTGCTATCACCACCATCACTGCCCCGCTGTGCTGTCACTGACGTGGCTGCTGATGAACTTTTTGCAAAAAGTATTTATGAGAATGTCTTTATTTTATTATTTTATTATTTAAAGCAGAAACCACGAAAGCGACTTTTTCTTTCCCCCCACCTTCCATCTTCTGCCTCCCATCATATGCCAGCTGGTGAGGGATTTTTCAAAATTGGTTTTGCAGCCTTCCCATTACTTTGGTAAAGAGAAGGGTATAGAAGGGCAAGTACAAAGCTGAGAGATATTGAACACTATCTGAACACATGGGGATACACTATCAGCAAAAATCCAAGAAATACCTCTTGTTTCTAGGATGTCAGGTATAAGGCTGAAGAACTTAGATATACAGGCAGTGTTTGCCTATCACCACTAACGTTTGGAGTTTTTAAAGAAAAAGCAAGCGAGATAATTAGCTCTGTAGATAGTGTCAAGGAATGAGATAGGAATTTTTGGTCAATAACTTAACATTTAAGGATGATGAAACCATGTAGATCATCCATTTTGATCAAATAAATTATTTTTCCAAAGACTAACTAGACTTTTCAAAAGGATTTAAAACTGACTACAAAAAAAAAAGAATAGAAATAACTAAAAGCTAAAAGGAATATAATGTTGACTACTGGTAGAAGAGATGCATGCTATTTCATAGCTGAATTGGTATGGCAGTGGGACACAACGATTACCTCTGTGGTGTATCTGCATAACAATGCTAAGAACATGGGTAATAAAGTGTTTTCATAGAATAGCAGGGTAAATACGACCTCATGGGCATTATCAAGTGAGGAAGAGGGACCCATGACTGGAATTCAAGATGAGGTTAAACCCTAATTGAAAGAATCCAGTCTTAAGAACAAGAGGCAGAGCATAATTATATTTCATTGAGATAAGTACTTCCTTGGAAAATCTTGAACCCAAACAGAAATTACCTGCTCACATCTTTCTACACTTGCTCCTTCTCGAGGATCCTCTTAGCTGCAGATCTCTCCATGGGGATAGCTCTGCTAGGCACAGATATCCTCCTGTGCTTGGGGGTTGGGGCAGGTGTCAATTATACCTCTACTATCTTGCTTTATTTCTCTGATCTGTTCACATAGAACCCCCACTTCTCCAAGACCCCAAACCAAAATTCTCACACATACCAACACTTTCGGAGTCACTGGTCTCAAAAACAAAAAAACAGATTCAAGAAGTCCTAAAAAAAAATCTAAAATGGAATGTAACTCAAGAACAAAATTCTCTATGGATTTAATTTTGACTCTACAATCCCAAGTAAATGCTATGGAAGAAAGAGGAATAATGTTAAAAGGAACTAGAATAGACATACTGGGACTTTGTAGATAATTCTAGATTCAGGATCATGGTTGTTTTTTTGTTTTTGTTTTTAATTGTAAGAATTTAGAAGAAAGTCTTTCTCACTAGGGACTAGCAATGGTCCCCTACAAACAGGTCTTATGGCATAGTTATTAAACAGTAGGGCCAAGACTCAAACCCACAGTTACCTGAGGTCTATGATTTCTTCCCTTGGCCTCTGGAAATAAAAGGGAATTCAAGCAACACACACATTGCTGTAATGGGAATGTGGCTCCTATCGAGCCATTTCCCGCAGACAAAATTCTTGCATCTTGGTTCTTTCCCTCCTTGGGAGTGTTCTGTTTCCATCTGCAATATTGCTTTGCTGAATAAAAGAAGGCTTCTGTTTCACAAAGACTGGTGGTCATAATCCTGGAGCAGGATAGTCTTATTATTATCAAGTCATCAACCTTCTAATAAGTCTCCAGGGAAAGCGTCACACAAATAGGCACCCAGCAGGCCAGTTGCATCAGTCCTCAAACCTGTCCAGGCATTTCTGCATTCACAGTGGATATGGGTGTGAAGCTTAGCTCCTTGCCTAAAAAAACACTCTCCATATGTATTCTAATTTTTTAAAAAGTGGATTGAATAAAAATGCCAACCAACTACCATTCGACAGTAGATTGGCAAAGCAACTGTATAAACATTTAAAAGATCAGTACTGACAGCTGTGTTTTCAAGCAATGTAATTTCTTTTTGCTTTTTTTCTTTCTTTCTTTCATTCTTTTTTTGTTGTTGCTAATAGAGAGAGGGCTCTGGGACTTTTAGATGTTATAGACCTCCTATTTATGCATTTGGCAAGGTGCCTTGTACAATCCTCATGGACAGGTAAGTACAAATTGAAACTTGTTAAAAACTTCTACTAAAGTGTGCTAATTAATGAGTCCATGACAATCTGGATAGGATTTTGGTGGCATGCTCTGATCTATTCCACAGTTTTACCAGCTTATTAAGTTTTCAGATGATGAAGATCTAGTTTCCAGATGACAGAGATCTAGATGGGATGGAAAAACAGAGCAGATGGCAGATGGCAAAAAGATCTAGGCTAAAAGTGATGGACTACATTTAATAGGTTGAAATGTAGTAATAATAAAAACAATATTCTGCATCAGGGCTTCATTTCTAGCCAGACAAATACAGAAAGAAAATGTGTGCTTAGGAGCAGTTCAAGCATAGGGAAAGTAAATGCAGTATGAGTTAATGGAGCTGTCAGAGGGATTCGTGGGTGTGTAGGCTGCATCAACAGAAGTATAGTTTCTAAAACACAGGAGGACTGTCCTGACAGCTATGACTGTCCTGATGTGCTTCCTGCCACAATGTGTTGCATGCACACAAAGGACATAGGCAAACTGGGCTGTGAGGCAAAAATTGAGATGCTTTGTCATAGGATGAACTGACACACTTAAGAGCTGTTGAATCTGGAAAAGACCTATGGTAGGAGGGGGTGGGGTGGGCAACAGTGCTTCACAAAATATTTGTAGAGCTCGTACATTTGAGATCAGACTTACTTTGTATATCACACACACAAAAAAGAAAAAATTAGGATCTAGAAGCAGAAGCCACTAGGATACAAATTTGTGATGAAAGGAACTACCCCAGGAAAGAATGGGCTCCCCATCCCAGATTTCTTAAAAACAGACTTACTTGATGAGAATGTGGTAAAGGGTCTTTACACATAATATTGGGTCACTGACACTATAATTTATCCTTCCCAAGGCCATATATGTGCCAGAATGTCCCATCTCCTCAGCCTCCCATGGTGCTATCCTGCCCTTCCTGGTACTGTCCATCCTCCATAAGCTTCAGCATTCTAGGCTTTGACTGAGGTAACAAAACTGGCCAATTCTTACATAACTGTGGCTCACTGTGCACCATTCCAGGCCCCTTAGTTGCATTAACCCAGTTAAGCCTCGTAACAGTACAATGAGGCATGCGCTATGACTAGCTCCATTTTGCTTATGAGGAAATGGGGGTGAAGAGGGGTTCCATAACCTGCCCATGTTTCCCACAGCAGAGAAGTGTCAGAACTGAGCTCGGGCATCTCTCTGGCACCTGGGCTTGGGTGGTGCCAGCCTCACTCTGAAATGAGGAATCAGTGGACAGGGCTTGTCTCACCTCCGCTCCCCTTTTGCATGGGAATCTCACTCATCTATTTCTTAGGTCCAGGTGTGCTAAGGAGACAGCGAGGGTCACAAGAGCCCTTGGAAGGAGGCCAAATCAAAGAGTTTTGAGAAGTAACTTTTGCTACACATGGGACATTTTCAGCTGGGGAGAAGGTGCA